GTAAAGACACAGTTGAATTTTAAATTTCGCAAGCGCTTGATGATAGCAAACAGTTTGAACTATTCGTACACACAATCACGGGGTTAAAATCCTTCCTAAAGCAGCGGTTGATGGGTTTACTGTATACTGCAAAGGAAGAAATTAAGCTGTTACACCATGATATTCAGAGACCAAGTCAAAACCTGCTCCATTTTACATTCGGCCGTAAAACGTGCGCCCACATATGAAATACGAATAAGTCCTAAACCTCTGCAGAGAGAACTGACCCCAAACTTTAGTGTCCATATGTGTGTGCTTATTCTGCTTTTGTGACCATCTAACATAACCTTGTCTTCAATTTGATCACGTTGTTAAGCATACGACTGCCGTGGTTTAAAAAGAACTGGATCTATACTGTCCTCACAGTGGCTCCTGTAGTAACCAGACAATCCATTTAACTGATTGAACTACAGATTCTATCTAAAATGATAACTGAGTGCGTTATTTTTAAACAAGCTATGTATATGTGTGCACTATCAGTTGTCATGTTAATAACATTTGTTTAGGCAGTGGTCAAGCAGCACTGCTGATGTTTGTTATATTTTACCGACATATTTTGTTACTTCGAAGTAGACAGAAGTTATAAATAATATTTAAAATAGTATCGGTCTTCCATGTGATATAGTTATTAGTTTAAATTGAATTAACATAACTGCGTTCACTTATTTTAAGGAAGACAGCGGCAATTCAGTACAATTAAAAAACATTACAACATTGGTTTTAAGTTACGCCTAAGTGCCAGTCAAGGCCATTGTGCTTTTTCGATTCAAATATTGGAAATGGTGTTCAGTTCTCATCTATTCTATTTGGGCCAACTATTTGACCCAAAACGTTTTTACTGTAAACTGCTTCACTTTGCCCCCACCCAAACATTATAGAGCTAGTTATAGAACTGAAGTTTATTTAAACCAGAAGTCAAGACTGTTACCTATCATCTCCATTTATAAAATGTGATTATTGAGTCATTTCGCCTCAACTAATGGGCTTAAGCTTTTATATATTCATATTAGAATTTGGCCTAACCTGATATTATTATTGCCGCAGGCTTTACTTAAAATTCACACATTTACTACTGTAGAAATTATAAATTAAACACAAAT